ATGATGGCTTCGGTTTTGGAGATAGAAATGGTGGAGGTACTTCGCTGCTGGAGTACGCCAAAACTTTTGAGCTGGTGATCACTAACTCGTGTTACCCGAAGAAGGCGGAGCACCTGATAACTTTTCGAAGTGCGGTGGCCAAGACCCAGATTGATTATCTACTTCTCCAAAAATGCTTTTGATTATGGACTTAGAGATCAGGTGGACGAGGAAGAAGAGGGCTATGTATGGTATACCTAGGGTCAGGTGGGGTACATTGACTAAGGACAAGGCCCAAGAGTTAGGGGAGAGGTTACTTTCTATGGGGGCTTGGAGTTATGGGGATGCGAGTTGTATGTAGTCTATGACAACAAATTGCATTAGAGAGGTGGGGACAAAGGTGTTAGGGGTCTCAAAGGGTTTTTCTGATGGCCATAAAGGGGACTAGTGGTGGAACAAAGAGGTTTAGAGGAAAGTGGAAGCCAAGAAAGCAACATATTTGAAGCTAGTAGAAAGTGTAGACGAGGGGCAGAAAAGTGCTAACAGGGAGGGGTATAAGAAGGCTAGGAAGGAGGAGAAGTTGGCAGTTACTGCGGCTAAGACCGCCGTGTTAAGTCGTCTATATGAAGAAATTGGGGATAAAGGAAGGGACAAGAAGTTGTACAGGCTAGCGAAGGTGAGGGAGCGGAAGGCCCAGGATCTGGACCAAGTGAGATGCATAAAAATGAGGAGGGAAGAGTTTTATTGGAGGAGCACATATTAGACAGAGATGACAATCTTACTTTCATAGGCTCTTGAATGAAGAGGGAGATAGAGGCATTGTGCTGGGGGAGTTGGAGTACTCGGAGCGGCAGCGGATTTTGGGTACTGTATATGTATACGAGTGGGGGAGGTTGTAGGGGCTATGCGCAGGATGAGTAGGGGGAGAGCGACGGGGCCGGACGAGATCCCGGTGGAATTCTAGAAGAGCGTGGGTAAGGAGGGCTTAGAATGACTTGCCGGGTTGTTTAACGTCATTTTTAGGACAAAGAAGATGCCCGAAGAGTGGAGGCGGAGTACGATGATCCCATTGTACAAGAATAAGGGGGATGTCCAAAACTGCAACAACTATAGGGGTATCAAGTTATTAGGCCATACGATAAAAGTGTGGGAGAGGGTGATTGAAGGGAGGTTGAGGAGGTGTGTGTCCATTTCCGAGAACTGGTTTGGTTTCATGCCAGGACGGTCGACCACTGCGGCCATTCATATTGTAAGGATATTGGTAGAGCAGTTTAGGGCGGTGAAGAAGGATTTGTACATGGTGTTCATTGACCTAGAAAAGGCCTATGACAAAGTCCCCGGAGAGGTTCTATGGAGATATTTGGAGGCTAGAGGAGTGCATGTAGCGTATATTAGAGTGACTCAGGACATGTATGATGGAGCTAATACACGGGTTAGGACAGCAGGTGGAGACTCGGATTACTTTTCGGTTGAGATGGGGTTGCATCAAGGATCAACACTTAGCCCGTTTTTTGTTTTCCCTGGCGATGGATTCTTTGACACATCACATTCAAGGGGAGGGGCCTTGGTGCTTGTTATTTGCGGATGATATAGTCCTGATTGATGAGATGCGAGGTGGCGTTAACGAGAGGCTTGAGGTCTGGAGACATATCCGAAGTCTAAGGGTTTCAAGTTGAGCAGGACCAAGACAGAATACTTGGAGTGCAAGTTCAGCGGTGTTACCGAGGAGGCGGATGGGGATGTGAAACTCGATACGAAAGTCATTTCTAGGATAGAGAGAGTTTCAAGTATCCGGGATCTATAATTCAGAGGGATGTGGAGATATTTGAGGAAGTTACACACCGTATCGGAGCAGGGTGGATGAAGTGAAGGCTCGCTTCTGGTGTCTTGTGTGATAAGAATGTGCCGTTAAGTTCTACAAGGTAGTGGTTAGACCGATTATGTTGTATGGGCCAATGTTGGCAAGTCAAAAACTCTCATGTCCAGCAGATGAAGGTAGCAAATGAGGATGTTGAGATGGATGTGTGGGCATACTAGGTTGGATAGAATTAGGAATGGAGTTATTAGAGACAAGGTGGGAGTGGCCCCTGTGGAGGCAAAGATACGTGAGGCAAGGTTGAGATGGTTCGGGTATGTTAAGAGGAGAAGCGCAGATGCCCCTGTCAGGAGATGTGAGAGGATGGCCTTAGGAGGTGAGATAAGGGGTAGAGGTAGGCCAAAGAAGTCTTGGGAAGAGGTGATCAGGCAGGACATGGTGCTACTTGAGCTAACCGAGGACATAACTCTTGATAGAAGGGTGTGGAGGTTGAAGATTATGGTAGAAAGTTAGTAGGTAGTTGTGCATCTCCCTTTGTCTTCTCTAGCTCGATAGTATTAACGCTAGTATGGTACCCTTTTTTTCTTAGTTTTCTATATTCGCATGTCTCGTTTCGTTGTTAGTTGCCATTGGTAATTCCGTAGTTTGCTAGAAGTACTTCGTTCATATTCTCATTTGTTGCCTTGGAATTAGTTTTCTAAATATGTTATCTTGCTACTACTTGTTATCAGTACCCCTTTCATATTATCTATTGCTATCTCCGATTTAGTTTTCTAATTATTGTTTTGCTTTTACTTGCTATCATGGCTTCTCTCACCTTCTTTAGTCGAGGGTCTATCGGAAACTGTCTCTCTGCCCTTCCAGGGTAGGGGTAAGGCTGCGTACATCCTACTCTCCCCAGACCTTACTTGTGGGACCAAACTAGGTTGTTGTTGTTGTTCATAGTCCCTCTGTAATTCCATTTTGCTCTTTGTTCCTGGACAAAAAACGAAGGGATCTCCATTTGTAGCGGGTATGAGGATTGAGTAGTGGGAACGCAAGCTAATATGCCCCATAGTATTGGACTTGGGCAAAATTGCAGGAACAAACTCTATTCCAGATTCAAGTGATATTAGACTTTGGGCTAGAAATCATGTTTGTCCTCCGATAGCGTAGCCGGGAATTTCATGTAAAAATTGCACGGGGCGCCCTATTTGGTCGCCCCCATTTAACATATACCCATTTTTTTAAAAAAAAACTTTTAACTTGTACCCACTTTTTAAACAACTTCATCCTCCTTTCTCCTCCTTCTCCTCCTCAAAATTATATCTGCCTCTTCTTTCTCAAACTTCTCCTTTTCCATTTTCTACAAAAGTAAGGTATCAAACAGATCGCCTGAGGTTATAGATAATCCTTAATAAAAAGTACTAAGAGATAACAACGAAGATCCGAGTTGATATACAGTATTCTAACACTGTGGTTGCACCATTTCTAGCTAGAGAATGATACACGAGATATTTGCAGTAGTTGTGTTAGTTGGATATGAGACGAAGGAGATTGCAGATTATGCTATGAAGTTTTTCTCTGGTTCAGTGACACTCTACAGTAGAACATAAAACTCTGCTATTTCTAGACCAAGGCCTAATCTTGTACCTTGTACCTGTCAGGAGATCATCCACCTCTTTCCACTGACGTTGCCACTCATACACTTTCAAGTATACGTTAGACTCCAGTTTCATAAATTTAAAGCGGACGATAACATAAAAAGCTTATTTTTTCCAGAAAAAACTTCAGCTCTAGAGCTGAAGTTCACCAGTTAAAAACAAAAACTTCAGCTCTAGAGCTGAAGTTCGACAGTTACAAAACAAAAACTTCAGCTCTAGAGATGAAGTTCGATAGTTAAAAAATAAAAACTTCAGCTTTATAGTTAAAAAATAAAAACTTCAGCTCTAGAGCTGAAGTTCGATAGTTAAAAAAACAAAAACTTCAGCTCTAGAGCTGAACTTCAGGCCCGGCTACTAGAATGCTGAAGTTTTGCGCGATTATATTTGCTACTTCAGCCCCGTATGCTGAAATTATGCGAAAAAGCGGGTACACTTGCAATTTTTTTTGCAAAGCGGACACAAGTTAAAACGTGACACAAAAAGCGGGTATAGATGTAAATGCCCCGAATTTCGTCAAGGGTATTCAAATTTTAAATAAGTCAACAATTTTTTTTGTCGATGAATAGTGTATCAAAATTTTTAGATCAAACTATGCAACATTTAGCTAAACAATAAAAAATTTTAATAGAATTATATTTTATAAGTTAAAATTAAATTAACAAAAAGTCAACATTAAAAATTTTACTAGTAAAAGTAAGCATAAAACCAAATGAGAGAGAGAGTCGAAAGGATTTGTAGTTTGTAGAGAGCTTTTGTTGAAGAAATTTTTGTAGAGCTTGACTTTTAAATTATAAAATTTATTTAAGAAATAATTTTTAGTTAAAAAATTACTTTTAAGGTTAGTTGTTTATTTCTACACAAATTTTAAGTTTTAAATTTCTTTTTATTAGGAAATCTTTTAGATTGAAATGAATCAAATAGACCACGCATGATGGTCGTTATTTAGTTTTGACAAATAAAATGGGCAGAACTTTGAACCCATGAACAACACGTCACTTTGAACACCCTAAAGCGTTAGATCGCGTCACTCAATTGTGTTAAGGGTGCTCAAGATATAATTCATAATCATATAAAATAATATTTAACTCATATACGCAGTAAATTTTTCGGCGAAGGATGTGTGCTTAACCATACTTGGCATAGGCTAACTATGCCACTGTTGCCCACTATACCAAAATTAATTTTTTTATGAAAATTCACTAATCAATTAAAATTCGTTAATCAATGGGTACATTTCAAACATATATTAAGTGTTCAATAGGTAAATGGTTCTGTTGAGATGTCTAAATAAAATTTGATGCCAACCTTAAGGGGTTAGTTTATGTATTTGGCTCATTTTTAATGTTGTCTTGATTTGACATAGAATTTAAGATTTTAATGTGAATTATGTATTACTCCTATTAGTGCAATGGGAAGTTTCCAAATATAACAATTATAGAAAAATAACATATCACAAACTGCTATATGGATAATTTAACTAGATATCTCAATGGTGTTCGTAACACTAAACTTTCTATCTAATTAACTCGCCGAAAATAAAAGAAGAAAAAGATGAAAAATGTGTTGGGAGGATGAGAGCGAGTCACCGTCCAAAAGCAAAGCCCGAGACAGAAATGCGCGAGTGACGAGGCTGTAAACTGAACCCTATTCAATTGATAACAACATCCAACAAATTTCAAAATCTGTCCCTATCGTTTCACTTTTGGCCACATCTTCTGCAGTCTGCACCATTAGCAAGTAGTTCCGTGTGAGATTCTCATTTTCCCCAATTTCTTTCCTCTCTCTAGAATCAACCAAGTTACTCTCCTAACAAATGGCGGATTGGGGACCAGTGTTAATAGCGGTGGTGCTGTTCGTGCTGCTATCACCGGGGCTGCTGTTCCAGTTACCCGGCCGTGGAAAAGTGGTGGAGTTCGGTGGTATGCAAACGAGCGGTGCAGCCATTTTGGTCCACACCGTCATTTACTTCGGCCTTATCACCATCCTCCTTATTGCCGTTGGAGTCCATGTCTACACCGGCTAAGTATACCCCAACTTCACTTGACTAAGCTCTACTATAAGTCTCTGCCCGGATCAGAAATTTTTATTTTGTTGCTCTCTAATTAAGGTGTACTTTTTTTTTGGTCAAGAATTGTTAAGTATGGTGATGGTTCATGGATATTTGCTTTTTGATTTTCAAATTTACTAAGCAGATTGTACTAGTAAGCTAATCTGGTTGTTGATTTTCTTCGATTAGTTGTATATGGGCTGTTTTGCGCTATCTACTACTTCAGCTACTAAATTATACAGTACTCGCTATCTAGAATCTTTGAATATTCAATATCACTAATAATGATTCTGCTTCACCCACTCCCCGCCAAAAAAAAAAAAAAAATGGAGAGAGAGAGAGAAAAGGGAAATGACTTTGAGAGATCTGGTCTTGAGTTCAAATTCTGTGGAATGTGGATTGCGAATTTTTTTGTGGGGAGCGGTTGACCTCATTAGTGGGATTTCTCGGCGCTAATCTGATTAGTTGAGCTAGCGGCTTTGGACCCCGGATGGTTAAACTAAAAAGCTGGTTGAAACAAGTGCATTACTGCAGGGAATAAAAAGTTGGATATTTTTTAAAAAATAACTGAAGTTATTTCCAACAATTTTGTGTAATAATTTTGGTGAAGAACATTTTAGTGTTTGAGATAATTATTAATTAATTAAGATAATCATTCTTCATTATAGGGTTAAATGTCTCTAACTAGATACTTTAAGGAGGAGGAAAAAACCTTTTTTATTTCGTTTCACATGTATAGAGACTAGAAGCAGCTTCTAGTCATTTTGAACTCAAGCGCTCTCTCTCGTATTTTTTGCTTGCTAGTTGCAAAGAAAGAGAGGATTGAATTCAAAGTTGACAACCACTTTGTAGGCAACCTAAATGACGGTCATATTGCAAGAGATTTAAGGGTTTGATTACAAATAAAGATAATAAAAGATTGCATTATACGGTTAAAATTGAGCCTACCCGATTTTACTATTGGATCGAGACGAGGGAGTTGCATCGAAGATCGGCCTCGTAGTGGATCAGACTAAAGCACGAGGACAAGGTATCGAGTTCGAGAATCGAGGTGTCTGTTAAGATCGAGGTCAGTAACGATCGAGACCAAATAGGGCAGACTTCGAGCAAAGTGCAATAACAGAAAGGCGAGATATTCGTGACTGGTCGAGGATCATGGCGGAAATCTCGGAACATATCAAATCAAGGGCGGTTGTTTAGGCTAATCATGAGATTTACTTCCGTAATTAGAATTGTATCACAGATAAGATTTCTCTACTATATAAAGGAGGCTCTAATCATTTTGTAGGCACCTTACATTCACGCATATCAAAGCAATACAATATTTTCTAGCGCATATTCTTGTTCATCAGTTTGCTTATTTCTTAACTATTCGGGTACCGATCAGTTCGAGGGCACTCAAGCTCGAGGACTGAATTACGTTTCAACACTGGTTTGTTTTATCTCATTATTAATTTCTACTACTAATCTTTATATTTGTCAATTGATATTAGGTGAAATCATGTGTCTTTAAGATCACATTATAAGTTTAATTGTTATCCAATTTCCAGGGTAAACAGTTTGGTGCCCACTGTGGGGCTAAGGATAATAGTGATTGCCTGGTATTAATTCTTATAACACACACTGCTTTACGCTTGTTCTTGTAAGTGTCTTTGATTTCAGGAATCAACATTTAAAACTCTCAAATAGCACCCACTCACACGGACAATGGCTTTGGTCTTCATGGTGAGAACGAAAATGTTGTCGCCATGGGAAACGGAGTTTCTCCAGTCAATCCCGACGGACCGTAACATCCGCAGTGATGCTCGAGTAGCCGATCAAAACGCACAAAGCGGTGAAGAAGGCGGAATTAGCCTTCGAATGATATTCGAGATGTTGTAGACTCAACAAGCTGCGATAACACAACTCCAAAATCAGAATCGAGCACCAAGCAGAATTGAGCTCCAAACATCACAAGAAGTTATTCATAGAGCTGAACCTATATCGGAGAAACCAAACACCAATGAACCGGGGACTGACTCCAGTATTATGAAAATGCTCGAGGAGCTCACTAAACAGATTGAATCAAGTGAAAAGAAAATCGAGGCTAATGACAAAAAGGTAGAAACTTATAATTCTCGGGTTGATCAAATACTAGGGCACCACCGATTCTAAAGGGTTTGGATTCGAAGAAGTTCGTGCAGAAACCTTTCCCTCCAAGTGCGGCTCCGAAGCCCATCCCAAAGAAATTTCGTATGCCAGAAATTCCAAAATACAATGGGACCACCGACCCTAATGAGCATGTCACTTCTTATACATGCACAATAAAGGGGAATGACTTAGAAGATTATGAGATTAAATCTGTTCTATTGAAATTTTTTGGAGAAACCTTATCGAAAGGGGCGATGATATGGTACCACAATTTGCCACCCAATTCCATCGATTCCTTCGCTATGTTTGCAGATTCCTTCGTGAAGGCACACCGTGGAGCAATAAAGGTTGCAACTAGGAAGTCGAAGCTCTTCAAAGTGAGACAAAAGGACAACGAAATATTAAGGGAATTCGTATCTCGGTTCCAGATGGAACGTATAGACCTACCCCCGGTCACAGATGATTGGGATGTTCAAGCCTTCACTCATGGTTTGAACGAACGAAGTTCGATAGCATCACGACAACTAAAGCAAAACTTAATTGAATATCCAGTTGTGACCTAGGCCGATGAATATAATCGATACCAGCCAAAGATCAGGGTCGAGGATTGTCAATTGGGGACCCCTTCCGATTCCGTTTATTCAAACATGCTCGTCGGCAGAACTCAAAGGGACATCGACAGAGAACCCTGATAGAACAGAGATTGTACCAACCATATAACATAGATCGTAAACACAACGGCCCAAGATGAAATCTTGTTCGAAATGATCGAAGAAATGATCGAGGACAGAGCTCCCGAGGGCTCATGAGTAAAAGTGGTTACAATAAACTTGTCGATCCCACAAAAGCACCACGAATATAAGAATACGACTTCAGCATCGATGTATCGGGTATTGTGTCAGCCATTGGACGAATCAAGGATATTAGATGGCCCAGATCCTGCAAAACGATCCATCTCAAAGGAACCATAATCAAATATGCAAATACCATGGTACCCACGGACACAAACCGAAGACTGCATATAGCTGAGGGAGGAGGTAGCTCATTTATTCAACGAGGGCCACCTTCGGGAATTCTTAAGTGATGGGGCAGAGAATCACTTTAGAAACAGGGATTCGAACAGGCAGAACGAGCAGGAAGAGCCACAACATGTGATTCATATGCTTGTTGGAGGGGTCGATATTCCTCAAGGATCGGTATTTAAACGCACCAAGGTGACGATCACAAGGGAAAATAGAACTCGAGACTACTTACCGGAAGAAACCTTGTCTTTCAACGACGAGGATGCAGAAGGGATCGAACAACCTCACAACACATTGGCAATCTATCATTATGAATAACATTTAAGTTAAACATGTGTTGATTGATCCAGGTATATTGACAAACATTATTCGATCAAAGGTTGTAGAACAACTCAGTTTCCAAGATCAAATTGTGCCCGCAGCTCGAGTACTCAACGACTTCAACATGGCAAGTGAAACCACCAAAGGGGAAATCATTTTTGCCAGTAAATGTGGCCAGGACTATCCAGGAAACAAAGTTCCATGTGATCGAAGGTGACATGTGGTACAACGCATTGCTCGGAAGGCCTTGGATTCATAACATGAGAGCAGTGCCCTCGATGCTTCATCAAGTCTTGAAATTCCCAACATCAAAAAGAATTAAAATTGTGTAGGATGAACAACCTGCCGCCAAAGAAATGTTTGCAATAGATGAGGTAGTACCATTATTGGCGTTGTCATCAACAAAGTGATTGGAGTCGAAGGGAAAACAAGAAGTCAAATAGCAACAACAGTCACCGGCCTCGGCCCGATCGGAGGAGCAGGGAACTTTTGAGGATGATGATTGTATGATACCTAGAACCTTCATAATCCCCGATGATTCTGATGCGACGAAGTCAACGGTCGAAGAACAAGAACAAATCGTACTGATCAAGCGTCTACCCGATCGAAAGGTATACTTGGGCACGAGGTTAACTCCCGAGCTCAGGAAAAAAACTCGTTCAATTCCTTTTAAATAACATAGATTGTTTTGCTTGGTCCCACCTAGATATGACAGGGATCCCACCGGAGATCACTACGTATCGACTGAGCCTGGACCCGAGGTTCTGCCCAGTAAAACAAAGGAGAAGACCCCAGTCCGAGGTAAAACATGCATTCATTGAGGACAAGGTAGCAAAACTTCTCAATATAGGATCTATTCAGGAAGTAAAAGATCCCGAATGGTTAGCAAACATAGTTGTAGTCCCTAAAAGGGAAACAAACTTAGAATGTGTGTAGACTATAAGGATTTAAACAAGCATGCCCTAAAGATTCCTTTCCTTTGCCGAATATCGATCGCATGATCGATGCCGCGGCCGACCACGAGATCCTTAGTTTTCTCGATGCCTACTCCGGGTACAATCAAAATACAAATGAACCCGGAGGATCAGGAAAAGACTTTGTTTATCACTAAATACGACACCTATTGCTATAATGTAATGCCATTCGAACTAAAAATTACTGGTGCTACTTATCAACGCCTAGTAAATCGAATGATCAAAGAACAAATATGTAAATCGATGGAGGTTTATATTGATGATATGCTAGTTAAATCCCTGCGGGTAAAGGACCATTTGAAACATTTGCAGGAGACCTTCGACATATTGAGAAAGTACACATGAAGCTTAACCCGGAGAAATATGCATTCGGGGTCGGCTCGGGCAAGTTCCTCGGCTTTATGGTATCAAATCGGGGAATCGAAATCAACTCCAATAAAATCAAGGCAATCGAAGACATCGCAGTTGTTGATAATGTGAAGGTTGTACAAAGGTTAACAGGACGCATAGCCGCCTTGGGTCGATTTATTTCGAGGTCCTCAGATAGTAGCCACCGGTTCTTCTCACTACTTAAGAAAAAGAGCGATTTTGCATGGACCCAGGAATGTCAACAGGCTTTGGAGGAACTCAAGCGATACCTGTCGAGCCTGCTATTGCTTCACACCCCAAAGGCGGACGAGCAACTTTACTTATACTTAGCGATCTCGGAAATAGCGGTAAATGGGGTACACACTTTCCTGTTTATTATGTTAGTCTGACCCTAGGT